CTCACTAGAAGGCTCTCCAAGATTTTTGCCCCCTCTCTCCCCACCCCACCCCACAAAAAAGTCAGCAGACTGTTGGAAGGAGTTAACTTCTGAGTGGATTCACCTGACAGCACTTAAAACTGGGTCGTAAAAAGCAGTCCCGTGGCGATTGTTCTTTCTCAGGCTTTCGTGCCACATGTTGAACACGACTGAAACGGTGTGTTTAGCTTCATGGGACCGTGGGTGATGCCCGTCTGGTGAAGGTGAGGAGTCAGGCCTGGGACTGGGAGGGTCGCAGACACCCGAGGCCGCCGGATCGGAACCGGACAGTGTAAAATTGTTTTGCCCTCCTTGCTTTACAGCAAACACAACCAAAAAGGGGGACAAAGTTGTAGCTCTCGGTTTTGCCATTTATGCAGTGGATAGAGAACTTTTTCTCGCCCCCAGAGAAGTACACGCCGCTTTCTGCAGTTGCAAAGTGGGCGCTAAACTTTCCCCAAAGTGCTGCAATTCGCGGGTTGCTGCCAGGGCGGCCGCCGAGCCAGGCGTTTTATTCCAGAACAACAAGCGGTGAATGGACCCGTGTGGGAGGGTGAATCTACCCAAGACCGCAGAGGCCACCCTCCTGGCGTGGGGACGGGGCGGTGAAGCACCGGGCCGAGGACCTTAGGGGTCGATCGGGCGGCCTCCGTGCTCTGCCCGAGGCGAAGGGAGGCCTGGAGCCCCGAACCCAGAGCCCTGCGGCGCGCGGGTCGGGCAGGTGCCGGCTCGGGCCGCCGGGGCCGCGGCGCGCGCTGGGCGGCCGCCCGGCTGGACCCGCGAGGTCCTAAGCGCGCTCGGGTTCCGGTTCCCTTTGCTCCGAGCTGCGGGTACCGCCTCGGACGTTGCAGGGAGCCGCGCTGTGCGGGGAGCGGGGCGAGTGGGGGTCAACACCCTCGGGCTCAGTCCAGGCCCCCCGAGGCTGGCTTTCGGGAAGAGTTTGGGGGGCTCAGCTCTCTTTGTGCGCGAGCCGGAGGACAGCGCCGTGCCCGGGCGCGGCGAGCTGCGG